GTTGTCGCGGCTGTAGCCGCCCCGGAAGTTGCCCCGGTTACCGCCGCCGCCGCCGCTGCCGCCGCCGCCGCATGGATTGTTGTACATCGGCGCTTGCGTGATGTCGTTCGGATTAACGTTGGACAGATCGAGCGGCGTGTCCACCTCTTTCAGAATCACCTCCTTGCGCTGCGTCACTTCCTCCTGCTTTTCCTTCTTCGGACTCTCGTTGTTGTTGATGCTGTGCTTGTTCTCCTTGTTGGGATTGTTCACTATCAGCGTGCCGTCGGCCTTCAGGATCACGTCGTCCTTCTTCTTCGTCGAGTGCCACAGCTCCATCGTGTTCATTATGCTACTTAGCAGATCCGCGGTGTTCACGTCATTATCCGCGTCGTCGGTCGGGTTGGCGATAGTTTTTAAAACGGTGCGACGTCTGATCGACGGCACCGCCGAGCGTCGTTGTCGTATGTTTATCATCGGGCCGTTTCCAATGGAATACTCATCGTCCGACCTAATTAAAGAGAAATTATTTCTTTATAAAACGTTTCGATACGTATTATTGATTTTATACATGTATAAAATATTTTCTCTCAAATAATTTAGCCAATTCTGTATACAATTTTGTATGGAATCGCTGCGCGATCACATATCGTAAAGCATAAAAGATTGCTGGATCTTTACTTCTTTGTATTGCAAAAAATTTGCGTACAAATGCGTAGAAATAAATAAACAGAATCTATCGCTCACCCAGGTGGACTGTAATCTAATCCCAGATTATCCCCGAAGAGACTGATTTGAGGTATACCGGCGCTGTATCTGGCACTGGTCAGAGCGCTTCTATCAGGAATGGCGGTGTTGTTTTTCATGATAGGCACAAGCAGCGGAATTTTTGGCTTCTGCATGCCCAGCGTGGAGGCTAATCTTCTTTTTACTGTTCGTGTACTAGCCACCGCTTGATTGCGTGCACGTCGTTTGTGTTTTCTCCTCTGGAGAAATAATATAGTAACCTCAAGCTTTCACCAAGATCATATAAAGTAGGCAACAAGTACGAAACAAAAACTTTGTAATACTACAGGAAAAAAGCAACCTTCTTAAAGCTTTTTTAAAACTTGATGAGAATTATTGGAATAAAAGATAAAGTTAGTAAGTTAGTGAAGAATTAATAGATTTTGCAGAACAGAATATTTTTAAAGATAGCAAATTTTTCATCCTAAAAGCTGGATAATAAAATCTTACTGAAATAGATATATTACATTAATTTGTAAATTCATTGTCCTTTACAGAATTTCATTTACATTACTCTCTATTTAAATAATTACATTTCTCTTTAGAACAATGCTTTTTATATATAACTTTTTTTGCCATTTTATTAAGCAAATTGTATTTTAACACCTTGAAATAATATGCAAATAAAAAGAATTAAGAAAATCATGATCAAAAATCCAATTTTTCTCGTGATTTTAAGTATAATGTATACTTGAGAGTTAAAGTCTCCAATATTTGGCATATCAATATAATAAAGTTATTTAAGCAAAATTAAGAAAAAAACCAAGTGCATCTAGTGAGAAAATTGTTTTATTCGTATAAATTAGGAACAATGAGATACAATCGAAAAATCTAAAATTTATTTAAATAGTGTTACGAAGGTGATGTAAATATGGTCAGGAAGTACAGCATGATCGGATAGTTTGGATTGGAAGTCCAAGATGATGAACACTTAGTAGAGACGGTGGCATTGCCAGACCGTACATTCCAATTAAAGAATCATCGTACACATTATCGTAATACATAGCACAGCAGCGGAAGTTTTCCGTATTTATTAACTATTGTGATGAAAGGAATATCATAAGAGAATGTAACATTCGTCTTGACGTGAAATATCAAAAAGTCGATTGCGATTTCAAATATTATACGCATCTGGCAATCCCCACGACGAGCATGAGCGTTACTTGTTAAACTATTATTTGAGAAATTATCAGTATACCTTGCGCGTTTTCTTTGCTCTTTTCTTACACTTCCTCCTCGATGTAGATGATGCGACTTTGACATACGTCACTATTTCTTCCTCTTCGCCGTCATCATTGAATTCTTTGATTCGCACTTCTCGAACTAGGCTATTGGATCTTCTATTCGAACTTTTCGCGTGCTTCTTCTTTTTCTTCGTCGTTTTGGATTTCGTTTTTGAGCGGATATGCGAAGCACTATCTTCTAAAATATTCGGAGAACGACTTCGACTATTATCACCGATAGAATCAACGCCGGATGAAGTAGACGGCAGATTTGGATCAAATTGCTCGGAAATGTCCGTCGGAGCACGATTGTGCATTTCGCTGACCGTGCGATTGCGAATGCGAGATATGTATGAGCGATTACGACGTACGTATGAACGTTCGTGAATATGAGGTAATATTCTAAATATGCCTGATAATTCGCTGACATCTCTCCCATTCCATTGAAGGATACGTCGACCAGGACGTCGCGGTATCATAAGAGTTGGTACAAAGTTTGATACCTGAAAACATAAGTAAGAATAAAAATTAGTGTATTTTTATTTGTCAAGTACTTTTACACAGACACAAGTAAATTTCTAACATATATTAAAGAGAATATTTCATACACAATTTTATACAAAAACTTCTTTTCTTTTTAAATCTGTGACAGAAATGAAATATTTTTACAATCTGTAAATTCATACTCTGACATTAAAATTGATTTTTATTTGAGGAATAATGAGAATAAAAAAATGTTCTCACCGATCTGCTCGAGCGTTGCAAACAATCCGGACAATACCACTCTTCTATGGGAACTGCAGTCATTGGTGGTGTTAAGCATTCCAAATGGTAGCCGCGATCGCAATTGTCACAAAGTAACATTCGATCTTCTCTGTCACTTTGATGACATACTTCGCAAAATGTTGGATCATCTTGTACTTGATTTTCGACGCGCGGCACGATTTCTACAGGTAAATGTTTTATGATCTAAAACAAAAAATATGTACATATTAAAATTATAAAGTAATAATAAATAAACTCACTTTCCTGTATCAATAAAGTGTATTTGAAACTTTGTACTTTATTCGCGCCAGCAAATTTAAATCAATATATTCTTTAAAAACAAAAAATATATTAATGAGCGTATTACCTCGCCTTCAAGTTGATCTTTAACGTAGATCACAGTGAAAGTTTGACGATCCACAGGGCAGGTATTAATGTTTTTGCACCATTCCAATAAACAATCTAAGCAAAAGCAGTGTTCACAAACCGATGGAATGCCGATTTGTTGTTTGCTAAATGGCAGTAGACATATGGGACATTTTTCTGACTGTTCGTCACCACTATCTGAACTAATGTTAGCAGTGGATGATAAGGAGGGGCCAGCTTTTTCGGTTGTCTCCCTCTTCGTTTTAGGTAAAACTTTACGCTTAGCATTGTACTGCTTTGTATCTTCACTCACTTCATCAGAACTACTCCAATCACTTTGCCATTCCGAAGCACTGCTACTATCTGTAAAACATATAATATGAGCCATCCTTTTTAGCAAACATGGCATAAATTGCATTTCAAAATATCGATAGTAATGTACAAACCGCTTTCCATAGATTTGCTTGCCTCCGATGCGCTGCTATCAAATTCATCCTCACTAATAACTCTCTGCAATAAGACAAATTTAATGAAGACACAAACATTAATAAATTTAAATAAATATATACAAGTGTAATATAGTTGACACTTACATGATTTTGTCGTCTAATCACAGGCTTAGGTACATCACTATCGTCATCACTGCTACTTTCCCCTTCACTAATAACTCTCTAGAAGTAAAAATATTTATTATTTAAAAGATTATAACAAATTCTTTTAATATTTAAAAATAAAATAACTGATTAATGCAAATATCTCACATAAGAAAGTGAATCCATTGCCACCATAAATTATCTTTTCTAATCAATTGCTTTATTTATATGAAAATAAAAAATGGTGCAAATAAATGTGCAAATAAATGTGTATAAGTATTATTATAATTGTAGCTTATCAAGTAAAAAAGTATTTTATAAGAAACTAAAATGTTCTAATAATTAAAAAAATTAAGATTGCTATACATACATATATCTTCTTTTTTTTTCGAGTTTGTACAATAATAGACTCATCGCTGCTGCTGTCACTTATAATAATTTTCTTGCGTTTGTGAGTATGATGACGTAATGAACTAGTATAATCACTATCACTTGACATCTTTATTTTTGCTAAAATTCATACCCACTGCATTTCTCCCATAAATCTGTAAACAAATTTGTAGCAATATAAAAATCTCAATATCAATCCATATCCCTTTCTTGGATCATTACAAAGATTAATATGTTGCCGAAGAAAAATCTGCTTATTTTAATCAGACTAAACTCTGCAAATTACATTTGTCTTTATTTTACTCATGACAAAAATATTGCAGTGTCAAATACAATAAACATCTGATTATAACAGAAATCTATATAAGAATTAATGCTCTACTTCATATTAACATAATTCACGGCGAGTTTTGTGTCATCCTAATCTCTACAGAATAAAATGGTGAATTACATGCTATTGCGCCGGAGTGCTTGCTCGTTGTTCGTTTTTTTCGTAATCTCTCCGAAGTCTTAAATGGACGGTGTTAAATCGTCCTTTACGCTAGTAATCGACATTGAGATTCTCGTCGCACTGGTTCGTGCCGTTGAGGTTCAGATGAACGTTGCGGTAAGAAACGTTCAGACTCCGTGAGTCCGCTCTCGGCGTCGTCGTCGTCAATGATAATTCACAGCACGAATTCGCGAGGAAATGTGGCCGATCCTACGTTCGCTTGTATTCAGTGCTTGCTCAGCCTAAACTGCCCGTGTTCAATATTTTGCTCTACGATTTAGCAAACACAAACGATCATACCGATACACAGGGTGCCAGAGTTGACGCTTGTCGATTTCCGTCCCGCTCGCCCTCTGTCGCTCACTTTCTCACACTCTCTTTCTCTCTTTCTCTCTCTCTCTCTTTTCCTAACGATATCGTTCTAGATTCGTCGCGCGCTCGTTTACACGTCAAAGGGTCGCGAGCGCGCGATGCCAACTTCTTGGTTATCAGGCGGACAAGCCGCCCGTGATGTTTGCACCGAAGCTGCTTCGCAATTTTTCTGTTGACAACTATCTAAAAAGGTACGCGTTCTATCGCGAGACTGCGGACATCTTTGATCGCGGACGCCGTGTGCCGTGTATAAGACGACGTTGCGTCACTTCCTGTCTTTCGTGACAGCCGACGAACAGCGACTGCGATGCTGAAAATTGTTGATCGCGCTCGCAAAATTCTAATTTTACGATTAAATAGACGATGCAAGTCTTTCTGATGTAGCAACGGCCGAAAGTGGATCAGAAAACGTCTTACGTAGTGCTGGCTGACCGGAAACGAGTAGTACTCAAACGATTTGAACATAGCGGCGCGAAATTCAAACATTGCAATTAACATCCAATAGAATTGCGCTCCAGAAATCTTAAGCAAAATTCACACTACATCTGTCATCATCCAAAATTTAACATCCAATAAAAAAATTGGTTTTTCTAGAACATAATACGGCTTTAAATTAAGTCCCTAAAAAGTATATTTTCCGCAATATCGGCATTTCGTATATAAATGCAATGTAAAATTTTTATTGATGAGAAAAATGCATTTTTCTTCGAACAAAATAATTTTGTTATTAAATGTATAGATTTCTGTATGAAACTACGCAAATTTACATATGAATAAACCTTTAGCAGTAACGATTGCTCCACTGGCCGTGAATGGCGTTGCTGTCGCTCGCTATCTCTCTTCGCTTTCATCTTTTGCGGAAATCGTTCCTGTAAAAGAAAATTCTTCAAGATGGGTCGTATGCACTCACACGGGTAATGTAACGATATTTATCATATTTTTAGTTAGAATCATCTATTTGTGGCATCGTATTTTGAATTTTGTTACAATCCCCGTTTTTCAATGCTGTGATTATTGAAACGATTTGGCAGCGTGCACGTTGAGCCACCATGTGTTTGTGATTCCATTATTCGTCCTTTTTCACTTAAATAAATTTGTATTTTTTAATTTTGTGGGTTTTATTAGATGTCATTGTTAAGCGTTTCCATGATTTCACCTCTTGGAAGCAATATGAGTTGTTTGAGTCAAATACACTGTCATTCGAAGTATATAACCTATCATGCATCAGTGTGATGCAGCTTCTATATGTACGTTCGCATACTATGGCGTAAATCCATTTTATAGATGCAACATTTGACAAGCTATACACATACACATTTTTTTATTTACACATTCTCAAAAGGAAATGCTTGATAACAAGTTTTCAATTAATTTATCAAATTTCCATTATCATTATTTGGTCTTAAAATTAGAATTCTCCAAGTTTATGAAACATTTACATATAAGAAATATTTATCTTATTTTTGAGGTATTCTTTATATTGTATCATCAATATTGAAAAGATATTAATTTATTACAGCATAGTTATATTAGTATGTATACTAAATTAAATGGAGCAAAAGAGTAATACATTTTAACAATATATTATTTTTCTCAGAAAGGGTATATCCCAATCTGCGCTTCCTTATCGTCGAAGTGTGCCAACTTGGTTGAAGTTGACACCAGAGGATTGCAAAGAGCTTATCTATAAGCTAGCGAAAAAAGGACATACTCCGTCTCAAATTGGTAATTTTAATAACATTTTCTAATAAAAGATGTGTACATGTCTTATTGATTATTTGATCAATAAATTTGATTACATTTGATTGATAAATCTGATTGGAAGCAAACTACTTGAGAAATCTCAGTTTATAATTATGATCTCTTAAAACGTGTTTGCAAGATATTAATTAAACAGTAGTCTTCTGATATGTAAATAATAACTCGTCATTTTATAATGGCTTACTTGACATTTGTGAATGATCAATTTATCATTGAAATATCAAGAATTATTGAAATGAAACGAATTTAAGATATGTGTTTACAGGTGTCATACTTCGTGACTCCCATGGCGTGGCTCAAGTGCGATTCCGCACAGGAAACAAGATCCTGCGTATCGTGAAAAGCATGGGTTTGGCCCCCGATCTACCGGAAGATTTGTACTATTTGATCAAGAAAGCGGTCGCTGTGCGCAAGCACTTGGAGCGAAATCGCAAAGACAAGGACAGCAAGTTCCGTCTGATTCTTGTCGAGTCGAGAATTCACAGGCTAGCGCGTTACTACAAAGCAAAGGGATCTCTGCCGCCAAATTGGAAATACGAGAGCTCGACGGCCAGTGCTCTCGTAGCCTAATGTTATTGTATTTACCTATGCTTTAATAAACTTTGAAAATGAATTTTTGCTTTTATACAACACCTTTTTCATATATAAAATTAGTATACTAATATAATAATATACTAAAAATTAACAATTTTTAATATTAATTTACATTAAAAAGTGTAAAAAAGCAAAGTATATTGAAATAATTTAAATCTTCGTTAAATTTGCTAATAAAAATTGCGATTTTTTTTTAGTAACAATAAAAAAATGTGTATTTTTAATCAAGAGGAGACGCGCACAGTATTGCAACATTCATTGCCTCCTGCATTCCAGAGATCGCGGGCAGGAAGCGTTCGACAAAAAGACAGCGAGTCCTCAGGTTCGCCTTGATGACCTTACGTCCTTCGCAAGTAAGCTGAAACTGGATTCAGCCTTCGTCACCGTTTAGAGGCATCCACCCTCGCGCGGTACCAAAAATTCGCAGCGTCGCACGGACTGATGTGCGCGTGTATGTGTGTAAAAATATGCACATATATGATACGAGATGGTAGGACAACAAGATAAGGAAAGGCCGACGAGGCTCCGCTGATGGGGATGAGAAAGAGAGAGTGAAAGGAGGAATGAAACAGGTAGAAGGCCCGTAACGATCAGAATCGGTCTTGGACCCGTTCTTCCCTTCGCGTGCTTCTGCGAAACACTAAGTGGCTGCCTTTATCATGTTATGCGCGTAAAATGTGTAATAACGATCGAATGATTATCGCAAAAATTTTTCAAGATTCTTTTATCAATTAATTACTTACATATATAATGCAATAACTGTTGTTCGTTTTTATTCGCTCACTTTCGCTATTACTTTTCTATAATCCTTAGAAATAATTAATTGCTTTAAATATTGCTATCTATCCGTAATTATTTGCTATTTAATATTAATATTTAAAAAAAAAATCCTATCATTTTTCTCCGCAACTTTGCTCCGCGCATGTTTTCTTTCCTCCCTCATCGCCAAATTGCCGCCTCCGGCCCTGCCGGGGGTCCGCTAAGGACGGAGGCGGCGGAAGAAAGACGGAGACAGAGAGAAAAAGAGGCGAGGTCGAGACAGAAGACATCGAGGGACAGTTCAGTGGCCCTCCTCCTCCTCCTCCTCCTCCTTTTCCTCCTCTTTGCGCCGCGCCTTACAGCAAAGGCCACCAGCTCCTTGTCCTATTTTTGACGTCATCGGCGGTGAAGGCAGACAGCAGCAAGCAGGGGTGGCACTCACGCATGCGCTCGCGCTGGTTCACCAAGATGGTGAACGTCCTGCTTGACTCTCACTCGCGGAGGTGCGGGGCAAGGGCTGCTGCGGTCCACCACGGTGGCGGCAGGCAGACCAGAGAGGTGCAGTGAACGGCTGTACGCGCCGCATGAGAGAAGCTGTCGGGTGCGCGGGCACGGCCGAATAAAGGCGCGCACCACGTTTAAACGAGGCGCCCGAGTTTTCTAACTTTTCCTTGCTCGTTCATTCATTTCACGTTTCAAATATTTCGTAGCTTCACGTAGCCGTCGTCGTCGTCGCCGCCGCCGCCGCTGCGAAGAGAATCTCAAGTCCGCTTTCCTGGCGTCGTAATTATTTGGAGCCGTGATTTGCCGTTGTTGATGAGTGTTCGTTAAGTGTTACCGAGTATTTCGAACGACAGATTGCGCGCCGCGAGTCAGCGCAACTTTCGCCGATTATGGATAGGAGAGAGCGCGGAGACAAGCAGCGCGAGTGCCTACCTCAAGCCTGTCTGTGAACCATATTGAAGAGACGGTGGAGGAGAGAGACGGTCGGGGGGCGCTCATCAGGCGCTGTCACTCGAGAGGTACGTAGAAAAACCCGAGATCGCGGTCAGGAACACGTCAACATATGGGAGATGACAACGGAGGGAAGAGGCGAGTCCTGACGCGGTGCGTCAGGATTAAATCGCGGGGTTGAAGCGGTGACCAGCAGGATGCGATTTCCGCGAGGATCTTAAATATATAATAATATATAACGATGTGTCGAAAGAAGCGTGAAAAGCATATTCTAATAAATTAAAAAAAAAAAAACACGAATGTGAAATAAATATCGCGCGATGGTGGGTAAAAGTATCATTTCGACGGCAGTGCGTCGGTGGATGGCAACGTTATTGTCATCGTCGTCGAGCTCACCGACCGCGCGCGCGAACGCGACATTTGCTTACGTGCAATACATTCCTGCTGGAAGCCGCGAGGAAGGAGAACGATCGAGCGAGCGAGCGAGCGAGCGAGCGATGTGAAAGTGAGTTCTGCTCGCTCGCCGCACCGCCCGAACGAACGATACAGTTCGCGAAGTTAGCTTCAAACCAGTCGCGAAGTCAAGGCTTCTTCAGGACTTATACGGACAAACTGTTATCCTCTTCGCGGTTCTCGGTTTGCGGCCGCACGTACACTCCGAAGCAGTAATGACGGCCAGCATAATTGCAATTTTTCTTTTCGCAGCGTACAGATGTTTGATTTGACGCTTGTTCGCGAGAGTACAAGTGCCTCTCGGCGATTCGTCACGAGCGCCGAGCTTGTCGGTCGGGAAAGCGACCTCGCTGATTTTTCGCGAGTCGGAATTTCAACGTATCCCATTGTACGAGAGCGTGGCGTTTCGCGGGCCGCGACCGATGCGATGTCGTAACGTTTTCCCCCGTTCGGCGCGTTCTCGCTCCCCTTTTCTTCTTCGGTAACTGTGCTGCGCGAGGCAACGCTCGAGGGGGAACCGCCGGGCCTATCTCCGAAGCCGATCCAGAAGCGAATTCTCCAATCTGTATCTAAGTTGTATTCCTTAAAAAAAAATTTTTTTTAAATTTTTTTAAATAAAAAAAATTTTAGTTAAGCTCCGCGTTTCGATATTTCAAACAGCTATGCCACACAGAAGGTCCGAGCCTGGGGGAAATCCCGCAGCGAGAGCGTTTGAAAACAAAAAGTTTTTAAAGGTAACGTCCCGCCGGTTTTCCGGTTACGTAATTTTCTTAAAACCAAGCTACTAGCCGACCACCACGAAAGGTACCGGACGGACCTCGGGGGAAAGGTACCCGCCGAGCGACGAGACGTCGTAAACGGGTAAGTCGGAGGGAAAAAAAAAAAAAAAAAAAAAAAAACCAGCATAATTTCGCCGAGTTCGCATATTTGGATACCAATCACCATCTTCGCGATACCTCGCGAACGAGTGAAACGCGAAAATTGGCGCGTCTCGATTTATTCGCATCGCGCGGAAATTGAATCCGACCAAAAGCGATGAAAAATTAAATCCCGCGATCCCGGCATTATACTCGGCTTCGAGTCCACGATTTGCGCCGCGCGAGTCGATGATTGCGAGATTGACTTTCGCGCAAGCGGCACAGCATAATCGTGAAAGCCGTCGCGCGGGGCCGCAAGCGGCTTGCAAAGCTGCACGCGCTCACCGCTCGCTCGCTTCCGCGGCAGCGGATTCCTTGCTTTCTATCGAACACGGCCGAACGCCGAGGAGGTACGGGCTCTAAACGCGGCTGGTACGCGCTTCACGCTCGACGTACGCTGGATGTTTACCCCGTTCGCGGGACGACGGGCCATGTCTACAATTTCTTTTCTCGTTCGGCCCCGGCTGGCTATATAGGCCAAGGAAAGAACGCGGCGAACATGCTCTCGGCGCCGATTCGGAGTGGCCGCTCGTTTTTATTCGATCGTCGAATTTAAGTTCGATAGTAAAAAATTAGGTCAGACTTCGATTCAATAGCGTTGCCGACGGATCTATTAGAGGATTCTAACATATTCAAATTCACTTCGATACGAACACAAAAATAAAATTTAATCGCCGTAGAAATAATTTTCTGTCGAAAACATTATTTTTTTTTAAATCTAATTCAGCGTTCGCATTGCAATCCAATAATATCGATAACTTTTTAAATAAGAGGATTGCATTGAAAGATTGATCTCATGATTGCAACATTAATTATCGCCGGTAATTGAGAAAGAAGTACATCTGAGGCTTTAACTCGATCATGCCAAATGTTACAGGCTGTTCGCATTCGCATTCGTGAATGTTCATCTTTCATACGAACGGACTATTAAGAAACATTAATATCAAGGCGCTCGCTAGTTCATGAATTCTCCCCGAGGGTGTTCGCAGGAAAGTAGTCACGGATGGTCGATCGCCGTGCACGCTGCTTCTCACCGCAAAACAGCAGTGAAGAGCCGATCCTCTTCATCGTTAATTTCGAAAGGTTTATCGCTATGCAAATTGAACGACGATATCGGATCCCGCCGACGATACTGCCGTAACTTCCGCGGATTTATAGCGCGTGATAATCGTAAATAGGAATAATTGTCGCGGCACGCGGATCGCGGTAATTGCGATTTACCGTCCCTTCGCTTAATTGCAGCCCCGCGCTTTCGTTGCGCTTTAACGGCGTAGGAGGATTCCGCGACGGCCCCCGCTGGGGTTGTCTCCGCGGAGGGTGTGTGCGTAAAATGCCTGGTCGCCGCGCGACCGAGTATAACCAGTTTCTTTCCACTGCTTGAAATCTCGCTGTTGCACTCATCGAAGTCACTCGGCGAGTTGACTGAGAGTTGGCGAAAGAGGGAGTGGGAGAGAGAAAGAAAGATGGGAGCGCGAGCGCGAAAAAGAGAGTGAGCGAATGCTCGCGAGCGAGCGAGCGAGGAGGAGGAGGAGGAGGAGTAGGTGGTGCGTGGTGGAATGGCGGATGAAAGGGAGACAGCCGAGGCGTGGTGCGACGCGGAGGGAGGAAGAAGAAATGTGGACAGAAATAATCGGAGAAAATGACAAGGTGGAGAGGTGAATTAGCGACAAAGATTCCGGCAATCGGCGGAGGAAAGATACAGGGGGGACAAATGACTTTTGCAAATTTTTCGATAGAAAAATAACGTAGCGTGATAAAGAGGATTAAGGAATTAAGCGGGATTCCGGGCGTTAAATAGCGGGAACGGAGATAGAGCGAAAGTGTGTGTGCCGTTCGCGGGTAACGGTGACAGAGAATTAATAGATACATAAAAACTTGAAACGAAGAGGTGAAGGAAGTGCACGGTCCGGGATCTTTAAAGAGCCATAATCGTGAAAATATATTATGAAGATAAAGAGACACGCGAAGGCAGGAACTAACGAAGAAACGTAAGGAGAAATGAGGAAGAGAAAAAGAAGAGACGCCCGTATACGGGAGGCTCCAACAAAGACGGAGAGATATATGAAGACAGCACTAAAGAGTGAAGAGAGCCGGGAAGAAAAGAGGGAGGCAATGAAATCGGTAGGGAAGATATATATCCGTGCGGATCGGCAGCGGGAGAGGGAAAGGATGCACGACGGCGATTAAAAAGTCGAGAGTGACACGCGGGAGGGACGTTAATTTCGGCGGGGAGGAAATCTCTCGGTGGAAGATACATGCTCGTGACGCGGCCCGCAATATAAAGACAGAGCGGGCGCGCGAAGACAGAAGCTGAAAGGTGAAGAGAATCCGCCGAGGAAGCGGGAGAGAACGCGGTGAAATACCCGCCGATGAAAAGAGGTGGAGAGAGGCAAAAAGGAGAGAAAGAGCGTGCGAATGGCCGTGTATGCGTTCGCGTGCGCCCCGTGCGTTGTATGCGCCGCGCGAGAGTGAGCCGTGCCGCCAATCTCTCGCGGAAGGTGGGGGTCTACTTCGGTGCGCGCTGTACTCCGGCCAGGTCGTACTAGACGCCGTCGCTCGGTCGCGTACAACAGCCTTCGCATTCTTCGGAGAAGTGAAAGCAGTTTGAGGGAAATTCTGGCGGCGGCCAGGCGTTCGTTCGCCACGAGCAGAAATCGGCCGTGCGACGTTTTCCATCGCCCGCACCGAGATCGCGTCGAGAACGCATCCCGATCGGTCCTCTCTGCCCTTATCGGCGCGCGATCGGGCTCGTTACGAAATCGGCTGTAATCTCGCCCCGGGGTGACGTGTGTACGCGCATACGCGCGAAGCAGATGGCGAGCTCGGACGCAATTCTGTGCCCCGCGGTGAGATAATGGACAAGCGCCATGAGGCACCTACTACGTGGAGAACGTTGCGAAATCATCGCCGGAGGAGAATAGGAAAGCGCTACTCGTGAGTCAGATTTCGTGGGTTCTATTTCCTCCGGGGATACCACGGTTTCTTTTTTTTTTCCCCCTCAAGTAAGGGAGAATACTTACTATTTCGTAAATGAGGGAATTTTGCCGCCACCGTTGCGCGGAATATTCAGCTGTTACGTAAATGTTGCATCATTACGTCAATTATATCTTCTTATCTTCGATATTGCTGCAAGGAACATCTGCTTTGGAATTCTGGTGCTCTCTCGTTGAAAACGATCGTCTTAGTCGTCCGACGATTGAAATGAATTTGTTCAGAAATAGTCCAGAGTTATCATACCTGAAAAAGGACCACCTTGATAATTCTTCAAAATTTGAAGATACGGACAGAAAATGAAGAAAATAGAGCGTTTAATTTTAAGGATAAGCGTGACGCGATTTTTGATTGATTATTTGTATATTTATTAAAAATTTTACTAAGCTGTATAAACATCTAACAGACATTCTAATGTTTCAAATGCTATTTTGGTTCTTGCATTCGTATAGCGAATCCTAATTAATTCTCGGGATTTGGGTTGCTCGATTTCTTTTTGTATCATTGACGCGACTTAAAATAACCATCGTGCTTAGTCATTCGATTAACATCCGAAACGTATTCAAAATACTTGGAAATTCCCGTCAACGCGAGGCCTCTCCTCTTCAACGGCACTCGCCATTTTATCTTGCCGCGGTCTCGCAGTGTTCGCATTGGTGGGTTTTTTGCCGATTTCCGTCACGCGTCTTCGCGATGAGACATCGACCGATTGTCGCCTTAGCACGCGAAATTCCACAGGTTTGAGCCAGATGATCGGAATTCGATCTCCGAAGCGATGACACGACACGGCGCGACGACGGCGTTTTCGGCTATTTAACCCGGAGACTGGCAACCGAGCGTTGCGTGCCGCGACTGCTTAAACGATATTACGGTACCTTCGAGCCATACGAGGCACGTCTGTTTCGGTATTGAATGCCTCGAAGTGACGATTAAATAGCGGTACATATTGACTTACATCGAGTAGTAAACGTCGAGCGGTACGAGGCGAGTTTTCAATGTACAAGTCTTCGGCGGAGAGGCAGAAATATCTCCGGAACAATCTGTGGTATTTAGGTGTGTACGCGAAGCATAGCTAAGTTACTTTTCATTATTATTATCGCGAAGAAAGCGAATGTCTTGAAAAGGATACTTTAATATTCAACAGCTTGTTTCTCAGCTTGCTTAATTCTGCACTTTTAAGGAACGGATCAAGATTATTTTAATTATAAAATTCTCCAAGTGTACAAAATTATTTCTTCTTTTTAAGTCTAGAAGAGCTGTTCGTAGATTTAATTTAATCACAGCGTGGAATATAAAACGGCGTTTTATAATTTCTTTATGTAAGAAATTTTTTTTAAGCGTGCGTTAATATTTCGAAGTATCACAAACATACCTTGCATAACAAAATGGAAAAATAAATCGCTGTTTTCGCGCGTAAGTGTTACACCGGCGAATTCCTCGGGAGAGAAGTGCCGTTCATTTTGTTTCTTCGTTAATATGCAGCTATAAATAAAAGATCCGCACGAAAGAGTAGTCGTGAAAGCCAATTCGGACAGCAATCGTAGCCAACCGATACGTTTAATAACAACACTTTCACGACGCTCGAAGCTCGTAGTAAATCAAGCGTACTCCACCTGTGCTATCGCTCCGTTGAATCTGATTTGTCCGCTTTCGCATTAATTTTTTGCATTCCAAGTAAACTCGGCTCGTTTCCTGACTTTTACAAACTTTTTCAAACAGATTTCAGCGAGATTCGCATTTGGCCGATCAACTTCTTCGGGTTCCGCAATATTTTTCCTGCAAATAAAAATAAATATTACATATCACATACATAAATACATGGATAAATTTCACAAGTAACAGGCGTAATTTTCATAATGTTCTGCAAGAATGATATGTATTACAGTGCGTTCTATGGAATTTAAGTTGTCTTCCTTTTGCAAAATACAAATTGAAAGAAAATTGATGCGCGCATTACGCCAGGGACTGAAAGGGTTAACGTCGAAGAGAAAATAGCGAAATAGCGTGTACGATTCTCTCGGGCGCGAAGATCAGTTGAAATGACGTCACGTCACGAAGCCGGATTTAAGTTCCGCCCACCACTGTGTGTGCGTGCACGGATATACGTACCTGCGTGCCGCGAATTACATTATGCACGGCCGTGCACGCGGAGCCTCGTCGAATATGCCCCGTAAATCGCGACGATGATTTTTTCACCCCCGCCATCTGAGAAGTACTTTGCGTTATCTGCGGCGCGTCGGCAGAATGAGTATAGTCGGCTGATAGCAGCGCCAGATATCGCCCTTGGATCTTCGAGCGCTTGAGCGTGGGATCGGATTTCTTTCTTTTTTTCTTTTCGATTTACACCGCAATCGTACACCGCGTTAAACGTCCACCCTATATGCGGCACCCGCATGGTGCATCATCGCGAAATGCGTTGATTCGTTATGCAGATGGTCACGCTTGCATAAAGCTCGTCGCGTTTATTTATGATGAAGAATAAGAAAATGATGATGCACCGTCGGAATAACAAGAGAAAGAAGTCTTGCTTTTTTTCATGCCTGGCTGTGTATGACTCGAGGTGTACAGGTGGATTCAAATCATTCCTGATTACATTCCAACTTGTAAATACCCGTAAATTGATGATACAATAAAATATAACGCATTGGAATGTATTTCTGCGAGTGAAAGCACGAGACCATTTATTTACGCATTCAGAAATGAGGAATGACGGAGTCCGATAACCGCGAATGCGCATGATATTCTACATAATTATAATTTGTATTCACAACTGTATGTACAAATTGTTAAAAATCCATCGACAATTCTTTTATTACACTTTCTTATCAATTAGAACACAAATTTTCTTCGATAAATTAATTTTCTCCGATGTATTAAGCGAAAACGTTTGGAATATTGAATATGAAAAAAAGATTACGAGAAGAATCATTCTTTTTCTTCATGTCTGCTTTCAGATTAAATACTAGGTCATAAAATGGTATCGAGGCGGAAGATACTTTCGCGCTCGCGAGATAATCTCGCGGAATCGCAATACGAAGAACAAGAAGAAGAAGACGTATGGTATAATTTGGATAAATTGTACAAGGTAATTTTTATACATTCTTGTTTCTTTTTTGTTTCTAATTTAAATTTAATAAAATATCACAAACCCGTGCCTTTTAATGTAGGATCACATACAAGAAGTCTTAGACAAATGGAATCAAATAGATGACGAAATTTGGGCAAAAGTTATCGTCTTTGAGAGAAATAGACGGGTTGCGAAAGCGTATGCCAGAGCACCTGTTCTCACGATAAACGGCTCCAATGACGGATTCGACGGATTCAGGTACAATTTGCAATACAATTACTACTTATTCAGCATTATAATGTACTTTCACGCTGTTTTCATAATTTCGTAAAGCATATAGGCCATTGAAATCATCAAGGAAGTCATAAATTTTACTGACCGCGTTAGCTAAAGCAATTTATGTAACTCGCTAGGTTTATGAATAGCGATGTAAATAGTTTCTATCCTTAAATTTTGCATGAAGCTTAAAATCAAGGTCGATTCACAGATTTACACTCAAAACAAATTATCATTCCGACATATTAATTTACAGAATAGGACTTTGTGGATTTGACAATCCCATGCGAGATTCGAAAACGGAGGAGGCAAAACGTCACATAAATCAGGGAGTTAAGATAAAGATGGACGAGCAGGGCAACATACTCATCAAGAGATTGTGTAAAAATAACGTGCACGTGAAGTCGACGAATCAAGAGGATAACGCAATCGGCCCAGAAATCATACGTAATTCGCAAGGCGCGCTCGAACACGAAAAACCCGGAAAGGTGAGAGAGACTGATGTTTCGCGATTTCCGAACCGTTGAGTTTTTCTTCGTGAAATATTTATCGGCGAAAGCGTCAAAATGGGTCAGTCGTGCGAGGTGGGGATTCTTACTACTTCTCTCAATTAAAAAAATAAAAAGCGCCGCGTGTTTTTTCCTCGCAGCGCATCATGCGCCGCTGTTATCACGATGCTCGCGAGAATGAAATGTTGATAGAGAAACCATCCGCCTTTCTAATTAAAGCTACACTCCGAGCAATCGAACCGTGTAATAAGAGGCGTTTAAATCTCTTGATCGTGAGGAAATCACACACGAAAGGAGAGCGAAAAGTTCCACCGTTTAACACGATCCAAAGCACGCAGTCATTCTTCCTGTATAAAGAATCCCCCATTCGCGTTCGGTCTCTATCGGTGATACGTTTTTTATATCTCACTCTCGAGAAGCCGATTGATGCTATAAGGTGACGCAACCGTCGCTTTCCCCTTAATATTGTGGCACGCTATGCAACATTGCACTTCTCATTTTAGCTGTTTGACATGAATAAATTCCAAACAAATCTATCACGGGAAACACGAAGGGCTTACCCGGACAGACGGCGATTGGAGATGCAATGTCTGAGCGCTATCATATTCGTGAGAACGGAGGCCGACTTGCTTCAATGCCCCGTATGGGTACTCATCGTCAATGTAGTCGGACTGGACATGCTCAAGTCAAAGCTCCCACCAGGTACGTTGGAAGATTGCCTGCAACATTTCATATTGTTATAAAACTTATATATAGAAAATATTCATGAATAACAATATCTTTACGATTGAGCTTTAGATTGTAATTTCGTTAAATTAAGATTAATTAAGAAAAAATTCTCGAAAATAGCTTGCAACATTACAGATTACATAAAATTTCTATATAGAAAGTACTCTCATGAATAACACTAAATACTTTTATGATTAAGTTTTAGCTTGTAACGTTAAACTGAAATTGAAATTATTTAAGAAAAATTCTCGAGGACAGCCTGCAATAAATAACGTTAAATATTTTTGCATTCTTTAATATTTAAAAAATATTTATCGTTTTTTTTTGTGTATTTTTCAGTTTTAGCACTACAGAGACCGGTAGATATAAAGAATAGACCTAGAATACCAATTCCTGACGAAGATCCCTACAGCGTGGCCGGCGTATCGTCGTCCATAGGTCCTAGCGAAATAATGCCGGCGGACAGGGATTCGCGGGAGCAGATTTATATGCAATCAACGAGTTACCAGCATCGACGTGCAGAGAGACCGCCAAAACTGCCTCCTAGAGAAAACCTTTATGGCCATGGCATCCCTAAGGTAAAAATCAAGCATATATGTTAGAATGAAATGTTACGTGAAAAAAAAAAGTAATAAGCCACCTTCACTTTTATTGTTCCAGCCCGATTACGATGACATAGAAGATGATTATACCAGAGCGATAAAACATCCCATAATGAACGAGGAAAAGCGAAGTAGACATGATGACAGAAAAAAATACGGTGAGCAATAATACATTTATGTTTCCTATCTATGATGTAATATGTGCAATCAATATTAAGTTTGTTATTACAAATTTTATGTAACAAATTGTATGCAGATAAAAAAAAATATCACATAAAATCTAAATATTAAGTAAATATAATAAATAATAAAATAAACATATTGAATTTTTATGATGCCTTAGACGATCCATATTATTGTGGTTTACGAGCACGTGTGCCTAATTTCGTCAAAATGGCAAGGAATGGTAAGATGGGTCTACCTCCTCCTCGAGGACATTCCAGGACACAAGCGGCACCGTCTTACGTGGGTGCCGCGTACGCTAGTAGTCAGTCATCTCAAATATATGGGCACTTGCCAGCCCATCGGCCGCCGATTATGTATCACGCCAGAAGCTTCGAAAGTGGACTCGGTAAACATAGCGATTGACTGCCAATTTTTTTTTCCTCCTGAAAGATGATTAGCAATGATTGTTACTACACTTCCAGATTCGGACAACAGGAATGAATCGCCGTACAACCACATATACGGAAGGTTACCGATCCCGACCAGAGGCGTGATACCTCCGACCCCGCGCGCTATGTATATTGGAGAGTGGGACTAGATATAAGAGATATTTCGGCGTCTGTACTTATAAAGCTCTGTATATTGTTAATATACCACATAAATACTCATATTTTTATGCTAGCATCGGTGCGTTTATTCTTTCATTTTCGCAAGTAAAAATGGCGGTGTTACCTGACGACTCGACGTGATCTAACAAGGATAAACCAGCCGAACACAGTCATCAGAATTGGAGAATCCCAAGTGTAGATTTATATCTTCGCTATCTATAAAGTATCATTGCTAAAAAATAATTTTTCTATAATCTAACCTGATTCATGTTCTTTAACGAAGATTCGAATCTGAGAAATGACAGATGATTTTACGTAACAATTAACAACAAGAAATACCGTTGTAAAGCGCGGGCTGTATGGTGCTGCCACAGCCGTCTCTATTTTGAACAAATAAAAGAAAAGAAAATGTCGATAACACAAATTATCATTTATCGGTAATGTAGAAACATGTATAAAAATTGCAAATAGCTGCATTATTGACAATATGCCGGTTTAGTCGAGACTCAATGCTCTTTCGACTGTCATATGACGAATCAGCTGATGTGCTTTGCATGTTTATCTTGTAAAACGTACCATATATCATACTATCATGCTGGTGTTTAAGATAATTGTAAACGTGAATTGTCCTTTGTCATCTAAGTGTGTGTATAGAAACATAGGAACAGATACATTACCATATAATCGCGATTTTTCATGGTCAACGTGATTACATTGCAGCGAAAGGCTGACCTAATGATGACATATATATTAATAACAAAGTCCGAAACAAAGAAAAGATTCACTTCCTAAAATAAGAGATATGGAGATTGTCATTCAGTTGTTTATCAAAAGTTCTTAATAACGCCTGTTAAACGATTGTGAGTCTCTATAAATGTGTTTATCAGTAGTTTTACAAAACAGTTTGAGTATGTGGGATAGTTATTTTATTTACATTTAATATCTAATATATATTGTAGAAAACAATGGATATCACTCAAGTTATAACAAAATACAGACGCTATTTGCTAGTACAACCACCTATGATGCTGTTGCTATTTGCTCTGTCAATATCAGGTAATAAGCCAATTTTTTGTAATCATTACAAATCAATTATAAGTATCCAATTTTCTGCAGCTACTGTTTTCACCGACTTGATAGTGCATCGTACATGCCTTGTAACATTGGGAATAAACGAGACAGAGTGTCTGATACTTCACAATAATAGCAGCAGCGCAGAGGCGCTTAGAATAAATCAAATTGTGCAACCATATACCAGCTTCATACTGACGAGTAAATCCTTCATTGAAAGTACTTGGCCTTCTTGTCTGTCTTTATTCTTGGGACAGTGGAGCGACAAGTATGGAAGAAAACCTCTTTTAATCTCAGGGTACCTAGGTAATTACGTTTGTACAATATTATTGTAAGATTGTAGAAGCTATATTTAATTTAACATATTTAAAAGTTAATACTTTATATTTTTTTTAGGCATATTCTTAACTTATTTCCTGCTTTCTGTATTATCTGCTTGGAATATTTCGCCATGGTATTTGTTGATAGCTTATATACCTACTGCTTTCCTAGGTGGTTTATCTATATTAATGTTAGGCTCAATTTGTTATATCACTGACATAACAGACAATGACGAGCGGGGATGGCATTTAGCCTGGCTAGATGCGTCAATCAATTTTGGCTTGTTATTTGGCTTTCTTATTGGTCCAAAGATATTTGAAATGTATGGATACAGTACTGTGTTCAGCATTGCAACTGTATCATGTAGTATAGCAGTATTGTATATATTTTTGATTCCGGAAACTATACAAAGTTCAAATTCTGTAAGTGTTTTAAAGTGTTTACTAAGATGGTTTATAAAACTAATCGTTTAGCTTGATATTAAATAAGTATTACTTAAAATAAATAATAAATAATTTTCATTTACATATTTATTTTTGCAGGGCATCTACAACATATTTGACTTGACAATTGTGAAGAATCTCATTAATACGTGTATAAAAAAAAGAGAAGGATTTGACAGGTTATTAATATGGAACTGCATAGCTTGCCTTACGTTTCTCTTGATTATCATAGAAGGCAATCTTTCTATTGAATATTTATTTACAAGCGCGCGACTAGGTTGGACTGTAAAAGAATTTTCTATTTATATATCCATAAACATTGTAGTGGGAATATTCGGCATGATATTGGGCACTAAATTCTTCCACAATTACTTAGGTATCGTTTTAACATTTGTCTTTATCTAATATTGTACTTGCTCAGAAATGTAATTCATAAATAATTAATGAAATACTTGAATTATTTAGGATTTCCAGAGGCTATAGTTGCCGTAATATCTCTTATATCAGCTGCTGGTGCTATCTTAGTGTATGCTTTTACATGGAAATCCTGGCACATGTATTTATCACTGATGATAGGTATATTTAGTGAGATGTGTCGTCCAATGATACGTGCTATATTATCCAAAGCAGTGCCTTCACAAGATACAGGTAAGGCTTGTAAAAATCATTAGTAAGAAGAAAAACTTGCGAGACAGAATATATTCAAGTTTGTAATTATTAAGTTTTCCAAAATTCCTAAGGATAAAAGAAAAATACATTTTTATATATATTTATTTCAACAGGAAAGGTTTTTTCTCTAGCTACGTTTATAGAAACATTGTTACCGTTTGTGGCAACTTCTCTATACACCTATTTATACGCTCATTATATGCCACCGTTATATCCCGTGCCAGTGTGGTTTTTATCAGTAGTATTTTATATTATGACCATTATAATATTAATATACATTCAAAAGCGACTGGTAAAATCTGAAGTGTCTCATGTATCTCCTTTATTAGAACCCAATGATTCATTTACATACAATTCACTTTAATGATATATTTTATGAAGTTAGAAGAAACACATAAGAGAGACAATTTGGAAGATAGATAAAATAATCAACTGAGAATGAAAAAATAAGATTTTTACCTACAGTTTTTTATTAGAATATTTGACGCATGTATTTTTTATATATTTATAGATTTTATATAAAATTGTTATATTGTACACCTAAAGAAAAATTGTGCAATACAATGCTCAAATTATTATAGGTAATTCTTAAATAATGTAATTTTGTTATTTTAAAAAGATTTTAAAAGAAACAGATAAAATTTTTAGCTATTAAAAGAACGAAAATTTATATATTCTATATGTATTTTTATATGTATATTTTATTATTCAATACTAGTGCTATATTATTTATAAGAAAATTTTACAGAAAGAAATAAATGTGTTAAATAAGTAAACAAAAGTATTATACAGAAAATGAGGTGCTTATTTTGTGAATGGTGATTTTAAGAAATAAAATTATACAACTTTTATCATTGTTATAATTCTTTTCCAAAAGCTGTTAACATTCTATTGCCTAGTCTCAAGATAAAAATTTATATAGATTAGTATATAAATTATTAATAGAAATAACATATTAATTAGTATTTTTATGTCTTATAAATATTGCAACATATCCTTAAAAATAAAGCAAATTGCTTTAATTAAAAAATTATAAACTTATTCGCTAAAAAAGGGTCATGCTGAATTTTTATTTCTGCGACTTTTTTCGTCAATTGTCTACAACTCGTAATAATCCACATGATCGGCCGATTTATATTTGTGTTCCCTTAAGACTTGTATAAGACGATTCACTGTTTGTTCTGTAGTCAATACGGTGTTTGTTTCTCGCAAATTGTTAAATATTTTTTTAACGTCAGAATCAACGGCTTTTTCACATGCCATTACAAACATATCTGTGTCGACAGGTCCTGGTGCGTAACTCAATACGTTAACGTCAGGATTTTCCAAAGCAAAGACCTGTGTGAAAAATAAAGCATATTAGTAACAAAATATGACAAAATACATTTAAGAAAAATATATCTAATACCTTAAAATACATCTCTCGTGCTGCTTTCGCCGAGCAATATTGACTATAGCCGATTTCTCCTTTAATGGCGTACAGAGATGTTATATTAATAATAACTTTCTTAGTGTTTGTACTGTCAAACATATTCATAATGACTGTGTTTAATATGACGGGCACAAAAAAATTTATATCATAAACTTCTTTCCAGTCATTTACGTCTGATAGTTTATTTGCCAATTTAGAGGTGCCCATAGTGCCCACGTTATGCACTACAACCACTCGATCAAATGCCTCACAAGTTGTTCCTTTCAAAGACTCCAATATAACTCCTAAGATAACATCAAAATAAAATATGTTTATAAAATTATCTTTGTTTTTAGCAAACATGTTATACATTTGATCGATAAAAGAAACTTATTTACCTTCAAAATCAGATTTACTTGCTTTACTCAAGTCCATGCTAACAGTATGAACCGTCACTTTAGAAGGTATATTTTTGGCAATTTCTTGTAAGCTATTTATATTTCTCGCTAATAAAAGAATATGTGAGCCTTCTTGTAATAATGAACCAAACGTTGTTGCGATTTGTCGACCGATGCCACGACTCGCGCCAGTTATTAGCAAGAAAACTTTACCGGACAATGCTTCAATCGACATGATAGCTTATGTTGTAAATTTATGGAAGTTAATTATTGTCCTCTGACTTATTCTCTGTTGGCAGATGATTTATCTGTAATTTCTCTGTAATATTTTGCTCTGAATCAGCTTCTATAGTTGCTTGAAGCACGTCTGCCTTTAAAAGATGAACTAATTCGCTAGCTGTCAAAGCCTGTACAAAAAAATAAACATTATGTAAACCATTATTAAAGCTGCAAATAAATTTATAAATATAATACCAAATACTTTTATCAATTATTGTTTTTTTTTTTTAAGATTTAGTTGAGAATAATCATAACGTATTAATATACTCGGTTATTTACCTGCAAATGTGGAGCTATGTGTCGAATCAAAGGATTTGATGCTAACTCAGCTTCTTCTTCAGACTGGGGAACGTTTCCAGATGTAATCAAACGTGCAATACAATCCTCCTTTGCCACTGATAATGATGTTACAAGATCCTTTTTTGTAGTACCTCCTTGAAGAACTTTCAATCTGGAATCTGTTACACCCACATTTATCAGAAAAAAATTCAAACTCATAACCAGATAAGATACGTCTCTCTTAAATGCTTATCTCTATTTCATATATGTATGTGTGCATAAAATATGTATAATGTGTAAATAACTTTCTTAATTTCTAAACGTCTACAAATTTCTACAAATTGCAAACAAATTACACATCTGATAGAAATTATTTTCTCTGTTATAAAACTGAAATTTCTGAGTGATTAAAGTTATCTTTGCTATTGCGATAAAAGATATTATTTATGTCAATAAAATCAGGGAATTTATTTTATATTACCGTCAACAAAAAAATATAACATTTTGTTTTGCTGTTATTGCACTTGCTAAAAAAGAACAACAGCAAACTTGTTTTTTGTCTTTTGTCAAAGCTGCATAGTTAAGAAAAAATTTTTTAGAGAAAATTCTTAGCAAGCAAATTAGATATTTTTTCCCCCCCATAACTGTTTCAAAAAAGATGACAACATAAAGAAAAACAATTACAACTAGTTGCGTAATATAAAAAGCAAAATACGAAATATAACTTAACCTGGAAAGAACCGCAGAAGTGTGACAAATTATATCTTAAATACATATATTATTTCTTAGAATTTGATGATTAAAAAATGTTGTAGTTCTCTAAAAATTAAAATTAAACATATGAGGTTTCGATACATAAAGTGGTATCTTACATAATTTTTGCAGATATTGCTCCGAGTCGGATAATCGTCGATGATCAATATTATTGTCCAGGAAAGAATCCTCGAAACGATCGTTCGGCGCGTTGTCGTCGTTGATCAGCGTTCGTGCACCCGTGCCACACCAAGGATCACTAATATCTGGCTTCATTTTACACGACAATCTTATATACAATTTTTTGTAACGATTGTACTGTGAACACTCTCCCTTTTCCTGTTGCGCAAAATGGCATTGATTATTGAAAGATCGTAGTGGGGATGAGCATCGACTGTGATGTTAAAAGAACTTACATTTTATTCTTTATCTACGACCTTGAACCGGTAAATAATAACTTATCGATATCAAATAGCATGGACGAATGATATTTTGGTATTGTTATCGTATTAAATTTTATATTAGGCATTTTAATGCCTAGCTATATAATTGCAAATGTACGTGTAGTCATCAATATTATCTTCAAATTCTAATTTCTATATATTTCTGAATTCTAAATTTGTTTAAAATCGATTTTTTTTTTTTAAATATGATGTTTTGTAATGTTAAACATAGTATACTATGTATATATTTCTGAATTCTAAATTTGTTTAAAATAGATTTTTTTTTTTTTAATGTTTTACAATGTTAAACATAGTATACTATGTTTAACATTGTAAAACATATTTTAAAAAAAAATCTATTTTAAACAACATATAAATTAGAATTTGAAGATAATATTGATGATTACACAAACATTTGCAATTATATAGCTAGGCATTAAAATGCCTAATATGGAATATTTATATATACCAAGAAACAAGAAAAATAAAGTATGCATGCAAATTATTTTTTGCAAAAATAAGAATTGCTGCAATAATTTGATAAAATAAATTGCGCAAAAGTATTTAAATTATATTTTACTTGTACATACTTTAGAAAAAAATCTGATAAATAAATATTTTGTGCAAAATACGTGCAAAAATGAGTATTAAGTTAATTCGCTTTTCTTTTTTTGTAATATAAAAATATGTGCATTGTCGAAAAATCTATTTACATTTATGGATAATTTTATTTCTTGCATCGATAACAGGTCACATTGATAAATACAGATAAATAGTCGATTACAGCACATAAGGAATACTGCACATGCGAATTTTGTTTAAGACGACCGCTCTGTACATATATGATTCGTTTCTTCAATACACATAACACATGTAATTAGCTCGACTAATTAAACTAAATTATAACAGATATAATACAATTAACAAATAATACATACAAATATAAAGTTGTATAGAAAAAATAAATAAACTTATATATTTATTCATAATCCATGATCAAAATAATTGCTTACGATGTATCCTAATAACAAATCATACAACTCGACTTAATTAGAATCAAAATACAATATCATATATATATTAATATAACATCCTTTTTTTTATTATCATTGTGATTATTGATAGCAGAATAAATATATTTTGAACTATAACTGGAATGATCTATTAACAAATATTGACAAATAATTTTCGGTTGTTCCTTATAAACTATTTTCTTATATAATTTCTCGAAAATATAGAATGAGAGACAAATACTTTTTAAATCAATGTGTGCATACATTCATCCATTGCGTATAACACACATGTGCACTTCCAAATGCACCCAACAATAAATACACTGCATACGAGAATATAACAAGTATATCTTTTTATATATATAT